TAAACGATCATGAACAAAATGTCTAACAACCTCAACATAATGTGCTGGAACATTAAAGGGATAATGTCAGGTACACCATATTTGTTAAAGTGTTTGGAAGACCGTAAAATTGATGTTTGCGGTCTCACAGAACATTGGATAAGGGAATATCCTTGTCTTTTTTTGATACCTTCATCCAATCCGGTTATTCATGCTTTGTAAAACCAGTCCACGAGGTAGACCCGTTTCGGTATGAGTGCAATATTAGAGGTGGTGTTTGCATGCTGTACAAATCTAGTTTAAGGGTTCAAGAAATTACTATAGATTGCCCTCGAATGGTTGGCATGGAGATTCAGGAATCTGAACGTAATTATATCTATGTCTTTTCGGTATACATGCCAGCATCATCAAGACACTTGGATGTTTTCAAGGAAGCTATAGATACATTAGAATCTCTTGTATCCGTATATTCAGAAAAAGGGAGGGTTATTATTATTGGAGACTTTAACGTGAAAATTAATGGCCCACGTTATCAGTTTCCCAGTAACGCGAGATCAAGTGATTTTGAAACTTTTCTTAGTAGAAATAATTTAGTATATGTTAATGTCCAAGATGTTTGCAGTGGGCCTGAATACACGTTCTGTCCTGTTTCTGGCAACTGCACAATGATAGACCATATTGTTGTTGAAAGTAATATGGTGGATTTGGTGAGAAAATCTGAAGTCTTAGATGATGGTGAAAACTCATCAGATCACCTCCCAGTCTACTGTAGTATCGACATTTCTACAGTTTCGTTAACAAATTGTACAAATACTACCAAATATAACTGGCGGAAAGCATTGAATAATGGTCAAATTAACAATTACAAGTTTATTGTAGAGTCTGAGCTCAGTTTAATTATTGTTCCAGAGAAAATCAAATCAAATGACAAGATTGACTCATATTATGAAAGTTAAAAAAATGTTTTATTAAAGGCGTCAGAAAATTGCATTCAGAAATGTACATTTAAGGGACATCTTAAACCATATTGGAACAAACAATTAACAGAGTTACATAGCAAAATGTTATTTAAAAGGAAATTGTGGAAAGATAACGGTCAAGGTAGAGGTAATGATGGTTACTTTCTAGATTACAAATTAAGCAAAAATACTTTTAGAACTAAACTTAGGAATGCTTTCAACACGTATATGAGTCGGCAGTTTCAAGAAATTGATCAGTCCGGTGAAGTTGATCAAGCACTATTCTGGCAATTATATAAATCTAAATCACGTAAACCGAAATTAGCACAGACTGAGTTGAAGTATGATGGCCGGGTCCTACGCGATCCAAGAGAAATCTTAAATGCATGGGTTAAACATTTTGATAAGCTTTTTGAAAGTGAAAGTAACGACATGTTTGATGCTAATACTTTTAATCAGGTTCAACATGATATACTGACAATTAAGGAAAACATCAAAACTGACCATGATACGTTTCTAGAAAATGACTTTACATTTGAAGAGGTTTATTCGATATGTAAAGGTCTTGAAACAAAAAAGTCAGGTGGTCCAGACGGTCTGGTGTATGAGCATGTTAAATACTGTAGCAATTTACTTGTTACACATATAACATATCTTTTCAATCTTATTGTAAAGTATGGATATATTCCAAAATCGTGGAAATTGGGCACGATAATTACACTGTACAAAGGTAATCGGAAACCGAAGGACGATCCAAACAGTTATAGGGGCATAACATTAATTCCTGTATTTTTCAAAATATTTGAGTCATTGTTGTCTACCCGTTTAAGTCCAGTACTAAAGTCAGACTCATTTTCAAACCGGCATCAGTCAGCCTATCGCAAGAATTTATGTAGTTTATGTACGTCCTTTAATTTACAAAAAAGCATCAATTATAATCTAGACCATGCATCCGAAGTGTTTGTTGCCTTTTTAGATAGTAATACAGCCTTCGATTGTGTATGGCAAGACGGGTTATTCTATAAGCTTTACAACTTGGGTATTCAAGGGAAAACATGGAACATTATGTATCAGATGTACTTTCATTTTACCAGTCGAGTTGTTTTCAATGGTTTTAAGTCAAATTACATAAATATGAAGCGAGGGATTTTACAAGGTCGGTCGTTATCTGCGAAATTGTACTTGGTTTTTATAAATGATCTGCTAAATGATGTCGAATTTAGCGGAAAAGGGTCAGTAGTGTTATCCTCACGTGTTAATATACCCGCACAAGCCGATGATATATGTCTTGTTAGTAACAACGTTAACAATTTACAGCATTTACTCTCAGTCTGTGAGTTATACAGCCGAAAGTGGAGATTTACTTTTTCTTCCGTTAAATCTAAGGTCCTTGTTTTCACTGCCAAAAAACAATCAAGTGTATCATGTGATGTGACTCTATATGATTCTAAATTACCAATTGTTGAAAGTATTACACATGTTGGTGTTTTGTTGAACAGCAAAAATAATAATATTGAACGCACAGAACGCGCTTGTTCTAAGTTGAAGTGTGGAGTAATGTCTTTGATTCGTTCTGGGGCACACCCATATACGCTCAATCCTCTTACTACTGCAAAAATAGTAAAATCTAAAGTTTACCCTTCAGCATTGTATGGCTGTGATTTGTGGCAATTAAAGCAAAGAGAAATTTATCTGTTAGAAAAGGCACAGAATTTCATTGTTAAATCAATTCAAGGTTTCAGTTTAAGAACTAGAACGGACATGTGTACATCTTTGCTTGGGTGGTTTTCAATTGAAGTATATATAAGTATAAAGAAAATGCAATTTCTTGGTAGAATTTGTTTAATGAATGTAGGTTATTTAACACGTGAGATTTTTATTAAACGGTTATTTGAATTCAGTCTGATCCATTTTAGTAGAGGATTTGTGCCTGATATTGTTTATATTCTAAAAAAATACAATTTGTACTATGTACTTAATGAATTCTTGAAAAATGGTGTATTTCCTAACAAATCACAATGGAAGATTTTAATTAATGGTCATGTTAGAAAATATGAAGAAACTAGATTATTTGAAAGAATGTACGTAGATCGTGACTTTTCTCGATTTATTCTCTTACATAATAGTATACATCCTTACCCCGTTTGGAAACTTGCTCTACGTTTTCCACAACATGGTTTTTATATCAAACGAATTGTTAAACTAAGCGTTGAAATGCGTGGAAATGAAAATGCTCACCTGTGTCACTACTGTGGCCTCATGTATAAAGATGTCATTATTCATAGCGTGCTTGAAAGCTCTCACACGGAGAGTTTACGAGACCAGCTCTGGTGCTTACTAAGCACAGTGAAAGATAAAGATTTTGTAGTTTACCTTAATGAATTGTCAAATTATCAATTAATACATGTACTTCTCGGGGGAATTATCGACTACGATATATCCCCATTTGAACTAGAGGATTTTAGAATAAACTCAATAATTTTCATCATCAGAATCCTACAACATTATCATGCTATTTAATTGTAATGTTTGGTCATTTTGACTTCAATATGAAATATTCACGTCTTAAATCATATGGTTGTAATATGCACATTTATTGGATTTAACTGGGAAAAAATACCCGAAATGATTTTTTTTACGAAGAAAATTAAGATTTTTTTTCTTTTGCATAACTTCATACAATATCATATATATATATATCTTGATATTGTACTTCGTGCGTTTATTTTCTTTACTTTAGGAGTTGGTGTATGTATACAATATACGCACGTAAACTCTGTGTCTATTGTTCACTTTGTATGTAATTGAACTGATTCTTGTATGCAATGTGTTTACTATATAAGTTTTCTTTATATTATATCGTTCCCTATGGAAAACGCTTACTTCACGCGTTTATATTCTTAACTATAGGAGCTGTTGTATGTATACAATATACGCACGTAAACTCTGTGTCTATTGTTCACTTTGTATGTAATTGAAATCATTCTTGTATGTATACGTGTTTACTATATAATTTTTCTTTATATTATATCGTTCCATATGGAAAACGCTTATTTCGCGCGTTTATTTAGATTTAAACATATTTATTGCCCCAAAATTGAGCAGAGGATTAGGCACAAGTTATTTCAACTTATGACAATACATGATAAATATTTACATGATAACGTTAACAAGGCATACATAATATATTTAACATTTAGTACATTTTACTTAAAATCTGTTGCTGGATTTGATAAAAATTTGCACGTGTCTGAATACTTCTGTATTGGTGGTTAGGGACAGATTTTCATTTCCATTTTTATATTCATAACTATAGGAGTTGTTGTATGTATACAATATACGTACGTAAACTCTGTGTCTACTGTTTACTTTATATTAATTTAAATGCTTCTTATGTGTATATTTGTGTACAAACGCACTATTACTTTCTGTAATATTAATGTATGTTCTTTTTGTACAACTCTTCACACTTGGAGGAAATAAAAGAAATAATAATTGTTACGATACCATTTAACACACATGATACTGAAAATAGATGACGATATAAAAGTCAATTTCTTTTCTTGCTAAACTGCCTAACTGTCGAAAGTCTGCATTGTCATTCTCTTGACATCACAATTCCGCATCTGAGTTCATAAGACGAATCTGTCACGTAAATTACCGTCATATAAATCAAAGTAAACGTTTATGTGCAGAAATGTCGCAGACATAGTGAAAAAACGGAACATGCCTGGCTGATATGATGCTGGGGGATTTTTTTTATCAGTTGACTGTATCTAGTCATATACACTGTCTATGGGTAATTCTGACAAACACTCGGGCCTTTCCGTTATTCTTAAAAAATGGCGGAAAGTCCCGAGTGTGAAAGGCTACCCGATTCATTGACGCCAGTGATCAGAACAGAATGCAATATAAACGTACATATATCAAATTATAAATATAAAAATACATGAACCTATTGTTATATGTATAATCTCTTTAAACTTTGAAAAATATGATAACCTGTAAGAAGAATAAACATAGATTAATTATTTTTCATATTTACTGCGAGCCTGAAACAACATGTCGACCCTCAGCAGAGCGGTGTGCCGAGTTTTTAATCATCGTCGTCAAATTTCAAGCCCGCACACTGTCAGGTAATGCTCGGAGGTACAAGGAAACACGTATCATTTAACGAAATATTGATACAGCGCTTATAAGCGACAGAATTGGTGTAACTGTGCTGTTGACTTCACTATCCTAGAGGTCACTCACAGTACTATTAGTAGTCGATATGGCTACAGCTACATCGAATCGTTCCATCAATCTGTCATTCTTGACAATTACTTGGCGTTACGCAGAGGTGCCTGGGTTTGTAATAACTGAATGTTTGTGTATGTAGATTCTGCTTGTGTGTGGATGTGTGTGTGTTTTGTGTGTGTGTGTGTGTGTGAGGGAGGCCAAGGGTGTGTGTGTGTGGTGCGTTTACATCTTAAAATTACATAGGCAGTGCAGCTAGGCCCTTTTTGATGGCCTCTAGGCTATCGGCCTCTGCTACACTGGCTGGCAGAGCATTCCACACAGAAATCGTTCTTGGGAAGAAGCTGTATTTGAGTGTGGCAGTCCTAGTGTATATTGTTCTGTACTGTTTGTTGTGCTGGGTCCTAGTGCGTTTGTTATTGTGTGCTTGCATGTATGAGTCAGGAGGGATATCTACAAGCCCATTGATAATCTTAAACATCATTGTCAGCTGTGCCTTGTGTCGTCCAGTTGCAAGGGTCTCCAAATGTAGGTCATCTAGCATATCCGACATGCTACTGGTGTTCCTGTATCTGTTTGTTACATACCTAGCCGCTCGGCGCTTGACTTTCTCAACTTATCCTGTTGTTTTTGGACACTAGGATTCCAGACACATGAAGCATACTCGATTATAGGTCTTACTAATGTGCAATATGCTGCTGAATTGGTTTCCTCACAACTGATCTTTAGGTTCCTCCGGAGAAAACCTTGCATGCAACTCGTCTTGGCAGATATTCTGCCTATATGGTGTGACCAAGAAAGGGTAGAAGTAAGGTCAACACCTAAGTAGGTGAGAATGGTATAGTTCATATGATATATATGCTACTAGTACGCAATGCCTTCAGTTTTGTACAGTTGCGTATAGACAAAAAAAAACAACACATCTGAAATGTCACTGTCTTTAGCAAAGAGAATGCTAATGACGATAAAGTGATTGATCACGCAATTATTTTGATGGTGATGTTTTCTGTTCTGGTGGAATGTACCAGGTATATATGTCATAACGTCACATCGTTGATTAGGTTTATCCACTTGGTACTCTAAGAAATTTGTGAAAAAATAATTTTATGTTACGTAAAACTCAAAGTAAGTCTAACGAATTCAGGAAACAGTTATGTTTAAGAATCCAGAACACCAAACATTTTGATGAGTTCCAATACTAATAGGTATAATGCATCCTCAAAATTTGAGTGAGTCCAACAAGAAAACCATGAGTTCGGGACTGGAGTATCTGATTCCGAAAAAAATCATTGAGGAAAAATAAAAATGTTGTCATCATCATTTTCATTATAATTCAGTGGTTCAGAACACAGGTTTATGCTCTATGCCTTTCTACTAACAGAAGAATTTTTCTCTTACTGTATCAAATCTTGTGGATAAAATGAAATATCTTTTGCATGTAAACAGTTTTGGGTTTCGATCTTATAAAGACTTTATTAAGATGAGACATTGGGCGATAGATAATATCTTTTGCATGTAAACAGTTTTGGGTTTCGATCTTATAAAGACTTTATTAAGATGAGACATTGGTCGATAGATAAATAACATATACACAAGGAATTGTGACACTCAGAGAAGTCTAGGAAGTCAAACAGTCTACTAAAAAGTCTGAAAAAGACAGTCTGCCCTACAAATCTTAGGATCTTTTCTGTATTTTTTCACTTCAAATGTTTATTGTTGGTATAAAAATGCCAGTGAGCAATATTTAAAATTTGACAAGATATGAAAATTTGGAAGATGGCCATCTTACTTTGATTTGTTTTGCTTTGTTTCAGGAAAGTGCAATGCACCTTCCCTGAGAATGGTTTGGTGCGTACAATATCAACGACTTGTAAATGTTTTTCTGATGAGGAGAAAAATAAATCTGATGTCCGAAAGTAAGTATGATATATAAGTGATTAAGATAGCTCTTAATACCTCAAACAAATAATTATAAATCTTTTCAACATATAAAATCAGTCATTTTAATATTCCATTTTTTTTAAATATATAGAGTAAATCAATAAATTTCAAATCATCATTTTGTTATCGGATATTCGTCCCATTGTATGTGTTCTCATTGACTTTGTTCTTGTGAATTTAACATAAAAATTCTCATGTACTACAAAATAATAAATTTTGGGTGAGATTTATTAGGTTACCTAAGACAAAGTCTCGAGTGACCTATTGTGATTACCCTTTAATTGTCCAGCTTCGTTCCTGATTTACATTTTTAACTTCTTCTCAATATCCAAAAGGCCCAGAGTGATGATATTGGGCTTGTAGCATGCTGGCATGTAGGGCTACCAAGTTTGTAAAATTGTATGACTTTGACCAATTTCCAAGTCACAGGAGTCAGATGTGTTGAAATCTTTAAATGGCTTCTCAATAACCAAAAAGCCCAAGGTTCTGATATTGAGCCTGTAGTATGCTGTCATGAAAAGCTACGAAGTTTGTTAATATTGTTGGCCATAACCCTCTTTCAAGGTAACAGGTATCAAATTAATGTAAAAATCTCTGAACAACTTCTTCTCAATAACCGAAAGACCTAGTGTTTTGACATTGGGCCTGTAGCATGATGGGATGAAGTGCTACCAAGTTTGTTAATACCTGCTTTCACAGGGGTCAAATATCTTAAACATGGTGCTGACACTAAGCATTATATAGGAAAATTCTGTTTTTGAGTGTAATTTCTTTCAATTTAAACTTCGTTAGAAGCCTTAGCATGGAACATCAGTTAATGTTATTCACAGTTTATATTTGTAGTATGTGGATAATGTAGTTAAAAATACCTTAAGGTTTGAACAAAATCTTTTCTATGCATGTTACTAGAAGCATTGTAGCTCAGAGGACAGTTAAGTCCCTTGTTTTATTGTTATCATGGATACTCTTAATCCACAATTCAAGTGCCATTGAACCGGTAAAAGAAGATTTACTGAGCTATATTCATCCCTGAAATCTGAAATCCATGAAAAAGGGAGCTCTGGTAGACGTAAGTTCAACATAGTTGTAATATTTTGTAGAAATGCAGATCAGATGTACTACATAGAAAAGGTGCCTGTTGATGATACTGATAAGAAGTTCATCGTTGGTCGCTTGATTGGTAAACATGGAAGTAACATCAAGCGTATTTCAGACATGGTAAGTTTTGAATCAGTTCTCTGAATGTTTGCATGTATTTCCATAAAAGACAACCAATTCTAAATTTTGTTGCAGCTTCATCATTTATTAAATGTTGTCACCTTTGTGACTATTGTCAGAGACATACCTGGTACTTTTTTGCTGACCCGGCCCAAAGTCGTTTGAACGACTTCTTCTCAATAAGGAAGAGTCACAAAATAATGATATTCAACTGACAGGGTCCTTGAATAAGTTCAAACAAAGGTTGGGAAAAGAAATTACTTTGACCCATATTCAAGGTCACAGGTGTCAAGTTTATTGAAACTTTTTAACACCTTCCAAAAGGCCCTAAAACAGATTTGGCTGACAGGTTCGTAGGATGAAACCTGACAAATTTTGTGAAATTAAATGACCTTTACCCTTATTTCAGGTCACAGATGTCAAATTTGTTAAAACCTTTAAATACTTCTTCTGAGTACCTGACAGGCCCAGAAGCATGATATTTATCTGATAGCTTCTTAGTTCAAACCCTGACAAAGTTTGAGAAAAAAAATGACCATGACCAATGTTTAAGTTCACATCAAATTTGTTAAAACCTTAGAAAGACTTCTGATTAACCAATAGGTCAGAAGCATTTTATTTGGCTGTTAGGTTCCAAGGATAAAGCCCAGGTTTGCAGATATATATGACCTTGACCCATATTCAAGGTAGCGAGAGTCAAATTAGTTATAATTTGACCCCAATTACTTTTATTTAAAAAGTGATATATATAACTTTATTTGTTGCTGTATCAGGTTGGATGCGAAGTTTTCCTAAATCAACTTAGTGTACCAGGGTACATACAGGTGAAGGTGATGGACAAGGAAAAATTGGCAAAAGCTGTGGATCAGGTATGTATGAGACTAATACGTAATGGTGTAGGGAACCTACTTTCTATAACAGACACACTAAAATGTGTATAAAAAAACATGTTATTGATAAGTCAACTATCAAAGCCAAATAAATGTTCGGGGATATTTTGAGACTTTTTTTCTTTATTATGTTTACAATTGATATATTTATTTATTTATCTGGTTTTACGTCCATTGGCGTTTTAGCAGACAGGAATATGATTAAAAAGGGAAAAATATGAAGCGATTGGAGAAATTGACATACAGAAATGAGAGTAGCCATCCCTTTTACATGACCTGTTACTAAACTATGGTTTTCAAGACAACCCATTTGCCCTAGCTTAACACTTACTAGGCATGTCGCAGCATGAGGGCCAATTAAGGACAGAAAGAAAGAGGAGGGGAATCCCACACTAAATGATTTTTGATATGTGATTGATAACTTAAAACTTTGTTAAAATTACTTAATAAAATCCTATTGCTAATGTAACCCAAACCTCTGGGCCAGCATTATCACGCATGCTCTTTTTTGAAGAAAAACAGAGGGATCTTTAGGAGTTTATGTAAAATAGACCGTTCCTATGATTTCTATTTGATGACATGAAGACATACAGTCATAAAACACTGGTGATCTTTTAAATACCTTTTGCCTGTTGTTCAATTTGAAATAACTAAATGATTTTAATCTTTATTGCCGGCAGACTGATAATTGATTGAACCATGTGAAGATAATGATATGGACTGGTAGTAGTAAACAGCTGTGGATGTCAGCTACTTGAATATATCCAATGTGTCTCTTGTTTGAATGTAATTTGTTTTATCTTCCTACAGGTAACACAACATGTAGAGAAAATAAAGAAAACTAGTGTGACTAAAAAACAAGATTTGGTTCCAGAATCACCTACATATGGCATGTAAGTAATAACACATAAGCAATAGAGACAAAATTATGCCTATAAAAGATTGATGAGATTTATAATGGTGTAGTATTGTCTGTTGTAAACTTTTGTTTGTCAAATCTTCTCCACAGATTTACACTGATTAAACTTGGTAGATTTTATAACTATTACAGGATGATGTACCTGAATGGTACTCTGAGTTATTTATTGGAGTTATTGCCCTTTCTTTTAAGCTCTCATAGTTCAAATGGTAAAATAGGTCAAAGACCTTTCAGAAAACAAAAGTGTTTTAAAATATAGTCAGTAGGTACATTGGATGATGTACAATGTACTTTTTAAAAAAATTTTTATGAATTTGACCGATGTTCAAGGTCACAGAGGTGAAAAAGTTCTAAAAGGTCTCTAAAGGTTGAAGAAAAACAAGATTTTTTTTGTGTAAGCAGATAAACATATAAAAGTGAGTTTGTTCCACATAATTTGAGATCATTAATAAGTAATTCTTAGATACACATCATCCATGATTACTGTTGCACACAGTTCATTTCTATCATTACTCCATCTGTCTGTACAGATTACACAAACACAAAGTCTGTCTATCGTTTGAAAATGTACAGATATCGGCTGCACATTGTAAAAAGTTTGTTCATTTATTTGGTAATGTTGAGCAATATCCACAACTTTATAAGCTGACGTCCAACTTACCTCCACTGCCCTTTCTGATACAGACCATATCCTAACCAGCTGATATTGTGAAAATAGCTGATACAGACCATATCCTAACCAGCTGATATTGTGAAAATCGCTGGAAGTCCCTTCATTTTATCATTTTATATTGAAAGGAAAATACACCTGATTACTATTGTCTGGCAGAACTGGTAGATGTAAGTTCAACATAGTTGGAATATTTTGTAGAAATGCAGATCAGATGTACTACATAGAAAAGGTGCCTGTTGATGATACTGATAAGAAGTTCATCGTTGGTCGCTTGATTGGTAAACATGGAAGTAACATCAAGCGTATTTCAGACATGGTAAGTTTTGAATCAGTTCTCTGAATGTTTGCATGTATTTCCATAAAAGACAATCAATTCTTCATTTTGATTCAGCTTCTCATTTGTTAAATGTTGTCACCTTTGTGACTATTGTCAGAGACATACTTTTTGCTGACCTGGACTGAATGGTCAGGTAAGCTTGTCATGGCGCAGTGTCCATCATCAATCCTTCTGGCTTCAACTATTCCATTTGAATGACTTCTCAATAAGCAGGTGTCACAAGATAATGATATTCAATTGACAGGTTCCTTGGATAAGTTCAAACAAAGTTTGGGAAAAGAAATGACCTTGACCAATATTGAAGTTCACAGGGTCAATTTTTATGATAAGAGCATTTTCAATGCTCTTCAGCATGTTGCTATCGCCCCTGAGGCTGAGTATCAAGTACTTCGTTTTCATTGGTTCATAAATCGAAAGTTTACTCCTACTCCATCTGCCGGACATTACCGTAATCATTGGATTATCGCCCCTACAAGTTGCTGATGCTAGTCATTAAATGAAACAACCTTATCGACATTTTCTTCATTACCTGTACATCAAGAAAATGTTTTGTGTTGTGTATTAATGATAATCAGACATCGAAATTTGTAAATACAATGACAAAGACTCACGTTTATGGTGGTAAATTTTGCGAGGCGATGCCAATATGGCAGCTTAACTTTCTTTTCCGCGCGATGCATTGTGGGAGTCATATACATTTGTATATCTTTCTATTTTTCTTTTTTCGAAAATTTACTTCCCGTTTAATACTGTTGATAACTATTAAAAATACTTATATATGTAGTTGAAAATAAAAATGAAACTAAAATAAGAATGATTTAGAGTAGCATAAAATTTTGACGGAAACAGCCGGGGTGCTCTGTGCTGCTGGACCCTGAAAGAAGACGGCGGCTGAAAGAAGATGGCGGGTAATTCATGTAGGTAAGTATCACTATATATATATATATGTTAGCTGAATTTGAAGTCAATACTTATACTGAACTATCAATTGCATTTTTTGCAACAATTCATTTGGAATGAGCCTTCGCGTCTAGTGAATTTAGGCTGCACTTTTTTTTCAAAATATTTTCAAGACTTTTCCCTTGAAGCAGTATGCATTTGAAAAATGTGATGTAAGCATCTAGCACATTTTTGTTGCTTCCGTAAAGTATTTCAGTATTTTGGAATGGATTTATTTTGGAATGATCGTTTCATAATGGTCTCATCGCAGTCACTTCTGTCAGTGGCCCAACAGATCGGAAATTAACCAGAAAAAAAAACTTATCCGTAATATTGTACTGTACTACTTACGCTACCGTGAATAGATCTAGGAATCTGTCTGGGTAATATATCGATTTTACTTTAAAATATCTGTCACTGTCCGCGCTATTGTAGGTCTAGCTCTTTCAAATTTCTGATCGGAGATAATTTATAAGTACCCCAACGGCCCAAGGCCAGAGTATGAAATCGTACGGGAACTCTACAGCTATGCTAATTTTAAGGTTTACATGTGAAGTTAATATATATAGTTTTAGCTTAATTTTAGTTTTTGTCTTTCTGACATGATGTCTCGTTGATTCTGTTGAAGAGTGATGCATGTGAACGATTACAATATGAAGATTAGGAATAATGAAGATGTCAATTAACATCTGATTCCCGGAAAGTATTTTAATAAAGATTAGGATAAACCTAGCAAAGTGTTAGGTCCCAGTGTGAATGTGTAAAGTTCCAGTGTGAATGTGTAAAGTCCCAGTGTGAATGTGTAAAGTATTATTGGTACAATTGAACTTTTTGATATATGTACTGTATTTGTTCATCTCAGAAATTTCAGTATTATGTCAACTGCGTCCACTTTCAGTTCAACACTTTTGATTCATCAATTTTACCCAGCCCTAGGCTCAATATTTGTCATTAATTGTCGACTGTTTTTTAGAGTTTTGTTTTCATGGTGAATGGAATGAAATGAGATAAATAGTCTAACCAATACCCCTCGAGAGCTAATTAAGACATTGCAGTATTATCATTTTGGGCCTTATTAAAAGTCAAATTGCAACTTTTAAGAAACTCAAGTGACTGTAAGTACAACAATAAGATGTCAATAATCAATGAAATTGATTAATTGAGAAGACATTTTCTTAGTACAGTTAACCAGGCTTTGTAGTGGTTTGTTCAGAACTGTAGTTCTGGTTAAGTAACCATTAATTGTGTCCTTTCAGTTACAATGACATACATTTTTGAAATACCTCTACTGTAGCTAAATATGGCATTTGTAATAGACAGCCAACATTAATTTTGTGATAGACATAGCCAAATTTAATTTTAGGATCAGTTAGGACAGCTACTGTTTGTAACAGGCATGGGTTCAATTACATGATGACGTAATTAATGAAATTACAATTACATTATGAAAATGGCATTGCCATTGCATGACGGTCCAATGTAATTAATTAAATTACACATTACCTTTCAAGTCATAATGATTTTTGAAATACAAACGTCAAAATAAATTATCATACTGCACAGATTTATCTCATGAATTTAACTTTATGATTCAATCTCTGTATGACCATGGTCAAGATATTCTTATTTTCTAGCTGTCCATCACTTCATAATTTGACAGTCCTGAATGTCAAAACAATTAATTATATTTGATATAGACTCCTATTGGGAAGTTCAAGACTATAAGCTTATACAGAAGTGTATATTTCTTGCACATAATCATAGCAATAAAGAAATATAGTTATTTATTTCCCTTACTCTCTTTCAGCAGGTGGATGTCCCTGAAGAAATGAAATCTGGAATGGTAGAAGGTATCTCTTGATTCTTCTAACTTGGAATTGGCCATTGTGACCAACAATGAATTTGAGGACCTTATGGTGGAGAAAAACGTCCTTCTTTCCGACCTCCAATTAGATGTTGAAGATGGTTAATCACTTGAGGATATGCTAACAACCATGTTGCCTTTTAAGGTCACAGTACTCTCTAAAGGCGGCAATATATTTACCATCACAAAAGAAGAATCAACAAATGGCAGAAACTAAACAAATGTGGAAAAGATCATTGTATGCTGCATTTGTAGTAAATTTCTTTACAATCTTCAATTTACTTAAGTAGAAAGATTCACTAGTTATACCAAGTTTATGTAGAAAGGCTCACTGTATACTGAGTTTGTAGTGTACATAGAAAGGTTTACTTATTTTTTTTTTCTGAGTTATGTATATACAATATATATAAAAAATTTTTGTAGAAAAGATCACCGCATACTGAGTTTGTTGTTTACAAATGTGTAGAAAAGATCGCTGTATACCGAGTTTATAGTTTACAATTGTCTAGAAAAATCACTGTAATACGACTTCTGTTTAAAACCTTCATTTAAACTTAGACATTTATTTTTTTTTATTTATCTTAAAAGTCTACCTACAACAATTTTGTGTATGCAATCTTGTACTAGGATATTTACATGACAAGATTACATTGCTGATCAAAGCATGGAAAGAATACTGAATAAAGAAAACAAGATATAAGCATCTTTATCATGTTTTTATTTTTATTATTATCATTATTATTTTTCCATGATGTCTGTCCACATGGAATTTGTAAGCACTCTTGTGCATTCTTATACCACCAAAAGGGTGGGTAAATCGAATCAAGTTGTCTATCTGTCCATCCATCTGTTTGTCTGTCTGTAGACACATCTTGTCTAGACAACTCCAATGAAACTACAGTAATATTCGGGACAATGTGTAGATGTGCATGCACCATTTTCCCCTGGAAATATTGATTGCCATGGCATCTGGTCAATATAGACAGGTTTTGCATGTCGGTCAACTTCTAAACCTGTGGACCAATTTCAACAAAACTTCGCAGGAATATTAGGGAACATGTGCACATGCCGCTGTGTTTCAGAGGATGTTTTTTTGCAAAAGGTCACCATGGGGAGATAACTAAGGCTGTGGGTGATGGGGGTATTAGCTATTTGGATTACAGTTTCAGTTATCCCTGGGCAATGTGGAGAGGATATAGTAATGATTTTGAGGATTGAATGTAGAGGTCACAGTACTTGCATAAGTACTATATGATTACCTTGTAAACGCATTGAGACCAAGACAGTTAGTATACCTTAATCAAATTTGGAACATGTATCCCTTGTGAGGAGAAGTCGGTTTCTTTAGAAATTCAGGGTCAGATATCAAAGATCAAGGTCACAGTCAAAAAACGGATAGTTGCATGGGGGTGTTTTTCCATTGTATTACCCTCGTTTTTCTATCAAATTTCACAACCTAAAAGATATTCACATCTTGTAAATTTCAAGGTTCAAGGTCACTGTAAGGATGTTAAAAAAAATGATAATACAAGAGGAATAAAATATCTTGTGACAAGTTTTAGAGAACAAAGAATATATAAACATGAAAAATTGGAACAAAGTCAATATCTACTTGAAGATTCCCAGAAAAAGTACAAGGAGAATAAGACCAGGTTTTCTGGAAGAATAGGCATCTTCTATTTTAAGTTATGGTGACAAGTCATGTTTGTTTTAGAAAATTGGCACTCTTATGCAGTCTTTTACAAACAATCTGGAAAATGAAGCTGTCCAATATTTGTATGTAGCATGTTATTTGCATGATGGTCTAACTAATGGTCTTAAACCAATAGGATACACAGTCTTTAAAGTGATAATATGGTGTCCATGATCAACATTCCCTACAATGTATCCAAAGAAATGGACAACTTCCCTATCATTGCATCTTGGAGCCTACTTGGGACATGTATTACATAAGTAATACTACTATGCTTGTTATTTCTGATATCTGCTGGTCATTTTTTATGGGCTGCAATGATTTATTGATTGCATATAGTTGGTTTCAGTATATAGCAAGCTAATAACAAAGAATTTATTTTTTAATGGTCTTAGCATACCAGTACTTTCAGTACTTTGATTTAAAACCTTGAAACAACTTCTGATAAACAAAAAAGGCCCAGAAGCATGGTGTTGGCTGATCAGATTCTAGTATGAATTTCTGATAAAAGTGATTCGAAGAAATTACCTTGACCCATATTCAAGTTCACAGGGGTCAATTTTTTAAAACGTTGAAACTTTTTAACACCTTCTGAAAGTCCCTAAAACAGATTTGGCTGACATGTTCGTAGGATGAAACCTGACAAATTTTGTGAAATTAAATGACCTTGACCCTTACTTCAGGTTATGGATGTTGAGTTTATTAAAACCTTTCAACAACTTCTGAATACCTGAAAGGCCTAGAAGCATGATATTCATCTGATAGGTTCTTACTTCAAACCCTGACAAAATTTGGGAAAAGAACTGAGCCTGACCCATATTCAAGTTCATGGTACCTGTCAAGGTCAAAGAGGTCAAATATGCTAAAATCTTCCAATAACATTTTCTCAATAACCAAGAGATCGAAGGACTTGATATTAAGTTAAGTTAATAATGGACGCAGACAAAACAATGCCTCTATGTCCATATCTAAAAATTGATTTACAATGGAATTGATATATCATACAATGTAGGAGGAAATAAATCCTTACATAGTGACAGCAATTTATGGTTTTGAAAGATCAAATTATTGTTCATCATGAGATTGAAATGTAGGTATATATATATTTCATTGTTTAATATGGTTCAACATTCCTGGCTTAAATGTCTCGTTTTCTGCTGATGTGAACAAGATTTCTGTTCCATGGTGGTCCGCAAACCTAATAGATGTAGGCTTCAGATTCTTGTTCTTTTTTTCTTTTTGCCTCTTTTTATAATTTGCTTTCCTTTTCTCATTCTAATTTGGTCCTGATTTGTATAGAAGAAAATTGTTGGCAGCTTCGTTGCCTTTGAATATTTTTGAAAATATTTCTTTTATGTATCAGAGAGTCAAATTTCACAAGCATTGGTCGACCTTTTTCACTTGAAGCTGTACTTGAATCTGGGCGTTTTCCCAGTCTAATGACCTTCTGGGGTCCTCCCTGAGCATTTCCACACGTTTCAATGATCCTCTCCACTACCCGAATATCTGCTCTAATTCTTTTATGTCCATCGTCATTGGGCTGTTCAGAAACTCCAAAAATGACCATGTTGTTCTCCCTGCTTTGCTGATCCTTTACCTCGGAGAATATTTCATATTGGCTGTGTAGCATTCTGGAATGAAGGTCTACTAAGTGTGTTCAAATGAATGACCTTTATTCAAGTTCATAGGTGTCAAATACATGAAAATCATTTAAACAAATTCACCTCAATAACCATGAGGGGACCTCGGGTGACTGTTAAGGTCCATGGCCCTTTTGTCTAATAATATAACAACACCCCCTTAATGTAGTTAAATAGAATATATAGTGATCATTTGTCTGTGCATTTGGTCCATGATAAACTTGTGTATCCATGAACATATTTCCTCTGTATTTACACTTTTACATTACCTCACAAAAGTACAGACATAATCAGATTGTGTTGGTCAACTGTCAAAGTTGAATGTCAGAAGTCACTGTTAACCACTTTGAAATACAATGCCTTTGTATTAGATGCCTCATCTAAATAATAGTATAACTAAGTGAATTCTCTTTGAGTTTCTGTAAATGGTGATGTATAATTTTTTTTGTTGCTGTATCAGGTGGGATGTCAGGTATCTGTAGAAAAACTTGGTGTACCAGGGTACATAGCTGTGAAGGCGACAGACAAGGAAAAGTTAGCAAGCGCTGTGAACTACGTATGTATGAGACTAATAAGTAACTGTAGGGATCATATTTTCTGTAACATTAGACACACTAACATGTGTATAAGATCCAACTTTCAAAGAGCATATAAAGATCAAACAATGGTGGGCTCCAAGATCCTTATGGGATCTTGTTTCTTTTGTATGACAGAAAGAAGTACAATTTTATAAAACATGTGTGACCCTTAACGACCTTGATTGAACCATGTGAAGATAATGATATGGACTGGTAGTAGTAAACAGCTGTGGATGTCAGCTACTTGAATATATCCAATGTGTCTCTTGTTTGAATGTAATTTGTTTTATCTTCCTACAGGTAAAACAAAACATAGAGGAATTAAAGACAACTTATGAGACAAGAAAACCTGATATGGCTCCAGAATCACCTACATATGGAAGGTAAATCTATAAAAGTGCCTATAAAAGATTGGTGAGATTTATAATGGTGTAGTATTGTCTGTTGTAAACTTTTGTTTGTCAAATCTTCTCCACAGATTTACACTGATTAAACTTGATAGATTTTATAACTATTACAGGATGATGTGTCTACCAGAATGGTACTCTGAGTTATGAATTTTTATACGCTGCCGGAGGTGGTCGTATATTGGCGTCATCTTTTCCGTCTGTCCGTCCGTACATCCGTATGGTCGTCCATACATCCATTTCATGTGACTGCAACTCCTCCTAAAATAATCATCATATTTTCACGAAAGTTGCTCAATGTCACTACTACAATGGGTAGATGTGCCTGAAAGGACGATTTTATGGTTCATTGATTTTTGTAAGATTTATGCCATTTTCAACTTTGTATCTGTATCTTGCTCTCAGTGGAGCTTTGTGAACGCAACTTCTCCTAAAATAATCATCAGATTTTCACGAAACTTGCTCAATGTCACTAATACAATGGTTTGATGTGCATGAAGGGGCGATTTTACGGTTCATTGATTTTTAGCCCACCATCTATCTAATAGATGGTGGGTTATTCAAATCGCCCTGCGTCCGTGGTCCGTCGTCTGTCCGTCCGTAAACAATTCTTGTTACCGCTATTTCTGGAAAAGTGCTGGATGGATCTTTCTCAAATTTCATATGCAGGTTCCCTTTGGTCCCTAGTTGTGCATTGTACCTTTTTTGAACTGATTCGCATTCAAGATGGCCGACAGGTGGCCATCTTGCATTTTGGAAGTAAAAGTTTGTTAACGCTATTTCTGGAAAAGTACTGGATGAATATTTCTCAAATTTCATGTGCAGTTTCCCCTTGGTCCCTAGTTGTGCATTGTACCTTTTTTGGACTGATTCAAATTCAAGATGGCCGACAGGTGGCCATCTTGCATTTTAGAAGTAAAAGTTTGTTACCGCTATTTCTGAGAAAGTACTGGATGGATCTTTCTCATATTTCATGTGCAGTTTCCCCTTGGTCCCTGGTTGTGCATTGTACCTTTTTTGAACTGATTCGAATTCAAGATGGTTGACAGGTAGCCATCTTGGATTTTGGAAGTAAAAGTTTGTTACCGCTATTTCTTGGAAAGTACTGGATGGATCTTTCTCATATTTCATATGCAGGTTCCCTTTATTTCCTAGTTGTGCATTATACCTTTTTGGACTGATCTGAAATCAAGATGACTGACAGGCAGCCATCTTGGATTTTGAGAGTAAAATCTTGTTACTGCTATATCTGAGGAAGTACTGGATGGATTCTTCTGATATTTCAAAGATATTGGTTTCCCTTGGTCCCTAGTTGTGCATTGTACCTTTTTTGGACTGATTTGAAATCAAGGTGGCCCACAGGCAGCCATCTTGGATGTCGACAGTAATACAGCACAAGCATATTGTCCATTATCCACCTGTAACTGACTGCTATCTAATAATACTTTGGGATCTTTTTCAAATGATATTTGCTAATAGGTGCTTAATAAAAATATCTTGTGCCATCATTGAGTACATTCAATGAAGACCAGTTCATGAACACCTGTAACAAACAAACAAAAAAAATAAACAAATCTTCAAGAACTGAAAACAGATCCTCAAATGGTGGGCGCCAAGATCCCTCTGGAATCTCTTGTTATAAGATTTATGCCATTTTATCTTGATCTTTATATTTTGTGGCGGCGTATATTGTGTCCACAGCACTCTTGTTGTAGGAGTTATTGCCCTTTCTCTTAAGCTCACATAGTTCAAATTGTAAAATAGGTTTAAAGCCTTTCAGAAGACAAAAGTGTTTTAAAATATAGCAAGCAGCAGCACAGGCTTTCAATTTATTGCATAATGTACAGAAATGGGCTGCACATCATATGTTTGCATATTGTATAATGTTGTGTAGGATCCACAAGTTTATAAACCGATGTCCAACTGACCTCCTCTGCTCTGTCCAATACAGACCATATCCTAACCAGCTGATATTGTGAAAAATGCTGCTTCAATTTCATCATTTTGAATTGGATGGAAAATACATCTGATCACTATTGGCTGACATAACTGGTAGACTTCAGTTCAACATAGTTGTAATATTTTGTAGCAATCCAGAACAACTGTACCACACAGAAAGGGTGCCCCTTGGAGATGCTGATATGAACTACATTATACGTCGTGTAGTTGGTAAAGGTGGAAGTAGCATTAGGAAGATTTCAGACGTGGTAAGTTTTGAAACAGTTCGTTGAATGTTTGCATAGATTTCCATAAAAGACAAACAGTTATAAGTTTAATGCTGCATCTCAGTGTCTAAACTTTGCCATTTTGTCAGAGATGCAATTTTTTGCTGACCTGGTCCAAAGGGCCATGTGAGGTTATGCCATGGCACAGCATTCGTCAACCATCCATTCAGCATCAACTTTCCCATTTGAACAACTTCTTTTCAATAAGCAGGAGTCCTGTAGTAATGATGTTTGATTGACAGTTTCCTTTGATAAGGCCAAACAAAGTTTGAGAAAAGAAATTACCTTGACCAATATTAAAGGTGTCAAGGGTCAACTTTGTTAAAACCTTTAAACAATATTTGACTGATGAACTGATACATTGAAGCCTGACAAAGTTTGTGAAAAGAAATTACTGTGAACCATATTCATAAATGACTTGTATTCAAGGTAACAGGAATAAAATTTATTCACCAAGGTCCACCAAGGTCCCAGACATAATTGGATTGTGTTGGTCATCGATTGAAGTTGAATGTCAGAAGTCACTGATAACCACTTTGAAATAAAATGCTTGTGTACTAGATGGCTCATCAACTCCTTAATAGATTCATCTCTTAATGAAATTAAGGTTGGAATAAAGAGATGAGTGATGGAAAGTATATCTATGTGACCTCACTTTTGAAATTGCCCTACGACCATGGTCTGTCCATCCATCCGTCCGTCCATCCTTCCGTCTGTAAACAACTTTTGTTATTGCTATTTCTCGGGAAGTACCGTATGAATCTTTCTCAAATTTCAGATGTAGATTCCTCTTTGTCTCTTAATGTGCCCAATTAACCTTGGGACTGATAAAAAAAAACAAAATGACCAACAGGTGGCCATCTTGTATTTTGACATTTCATGTTTATTATCATTAATTGTTGAAAAGTACTGGATGGACCTTTCTAAAATTTCATATATAAAAAGAAACAGCCAACATGTGACCATCTTGGATTTTGACTATTAAAGACAGTCATCCCTATTTCTTCAGTAGTTGAATGGATCTCTCCCGAATCTCATATGTAGATTTCCCATTGTCCTAAGTTGTGCCCATTTGATTTTGGGTCTGATAAGAAAGACAAAATGGACGACAAGTGGCCATCTTGGATTTCTGCAAGTAAAGTTTGTTGATGCTATTTTTTGAAAAGTACTGATCTGTCTTAGATTTCATATGTGGACTTGCCTTTGTCTAAGGATATGTCCATTTGATTTTGAGACTGATCAGAAAAATAAAATTACTACTGGCAGCCTTCTTGGATTTTTACTTTGAAAGTTTGTTGTCACTATTTCTAGAGAATTTGAGATCTTTCTCAAGTTTTCAATGTTGTAGTCCCTTGGTCCCTGGTTGCTCTGGTTTTATTTTGGGACTAATCAGAAAAACAAAATGGCTTCCATTCGATTATCTTGGATTTCACATGAAATTTCTTAACATTAAGAGCAAAAGCAGAGAAGAGAAAAAAGAAGGGAAAAGATACACTTTTTAAAGAGCAAATTAATTTCAAACAATGTTGGGTGCCAAGTACCCTCTGGGATCTCTAGATTAAAAATTGATGTACAATTTTTTGTCGCTGTTTCAGGTTGGATGTAAGGTTTTTGTAGAAAAGTTAGATGTCCCAGGGTACATAGAGGTGAAGGTGATGGACAAGGAAAAGTTGGCACATGCTGTGGATCAGGTATGTATGAGATTGTAATAAGTAACGGTGTGGAATGCTTTCTTACCAGAGTTCCAAGTTCTAATGTGTCAAAGTTGGGATGGGGGTTCCAGCCACATAGTGATAGAATTAGTGATAGAATTTACACAGAATTAGGCTCCAAACATAAAACACACTGTAGTCTGTTTACTGTCAATCTACCTGGTTTTGTTTACTCTTTTTTTATGCACATGAAACCAAAAGGAAAAAACGTGATAACTACCGCATTAATGCAGATTAATTAAAATACTGGTTTGTCATTGACACATTAGTTTATAGTTTTAAACACATTAACTGAACATAATGTACAAACTCCAAATTTAATATTGTTGAGAGAACTTCTTACTCTTAAGGATTTAAATGAGAGTAAAATATTTATGTTACTTTAGGTTTAGGTTTCGCCAAGTAGTTATGTGTATGAAAGTGGATGTGTAGCCACGCATGTTTCACATCACTTTTTCGTTTCATATTTGTACTTACAAATGTTTATTTAAACAAAATGATTTTAGTGTATAAAGTTACAAAATATTTTTATTTATTTATTACATATTCATTACTGTCACTCCATGCTATATGTATTCGGTAAACAAGTGATGAAAATTGGATCAGTCATCGCCGCAAAATGTCTCAATTCATAGAAATACGACTAAGATGAACTATCGGATAAGTTGAATATTTCACTTGGCCCTGTTGACTTCTACTTATTAGAGAAACAGATAACCAGCGTATTTGCATAAATACACAAAAAAAAATCCGGCAAATACCCATTAAAATAAATTTGGTGCATACAAAAAAACCGCTGAAAAAATCGGGATACGCAAACGAAATCATGATGCTGCGTAATTGTACCTACCCATGTGGTTCCTGGCTTTCTTACACTAGTACTGACACAATTTTCTTTCGGAGTCACTGACAATTTTCTCAATTGAATCAGAGGTGAGAGGCGAAAAAATGCTGGAAGGATGTTGCGTAAGGGGCATTCCCAAAATTAACCAGAAGTATAGGGGTGCACTCGATTCTTCATTCACCTTCCCGTTGCTTGTGTCATAATTCTTTAAAAACTTGTATTAATGAATAAATGGAGACAAATATTTTAACTTTTGATGACTAGAACCTATTTATAATGCAAACAGTGACTTTCATCTGTATGACGTGGTTTATCACAGAATATACCAGAAAGGAATGTGTGATACTTTGCCGAATTCAAGTGGCGGGTTATAGAGTACTGTTCAAACAAACCTTCCTTATAATTATAATTGAGATTCCACCAAGGACAACTATTATAGAGCCCCATTGTTACAGTAACTGTTTGTTATAGGTATGTCATTTTCTAGCTTGATGTTGGTTACCAGTTGAAATACCCAATTAATTTAAAATCACCGGGTATCAGAAGAAATATTATCCAATTGAAAAATCCAAATACCCAATTCTTTTCAAAGGACTGGGTATTTACCCAATTGATGTGAAAAGTTATCTGTTTCTCTGACTTATCCGTGTATTACTGTATGTTTTCTCTTCCTACAGGTAACACAACATGTAGAGAAAATAAAGAAAACTAGTGAGACTAAAAAACAAGATTTGGTTCCAGAATCACCTACATATGGCATGTAAGTAATAATACATAAGCAATAGAGACAAAATTATGCCTATAAAAGATTGATGAGATTTATAATGGTGTAGTATTGTCTGTTGTAAACTTTTGTTTGTCAAATCTTCTCCACAGATTTACACCGATTAAACTTGGTAGATTTTATAACTATTACAGGATGATGTACCTGAATGGTACTCTGAGTTATTTATTGGAGTTATTGCCCTTTCTTTTAAGCTCACATAGTTCAAATGGTAAAATAGGTTAAGGACTTTCAGAAGAAAAAAAAAATTCTAAGGAAATAGCCAGCTGTTATGAAAGCTTTCCATAATCATCTAGTTTTCAGACTCAAGGTCCTGATAGAATTTACAGGCATGTTCCTTGGGTGTAGTGTTACAGATTCTCTTCAAACAAATCACTTTCAAGTTCACTGGGGTTAGATTTTTTATTCTTGAAACAAACACCTTTTCTTGAAAGCCGGAATATCAAGAACGACCATGATTATGTTGTATCTTGAAGACCTGTTACATATATATTTTTTGATGTACAGTGTCACCTTCAATAAGTCGTAGAACAAATGGTGATCATTTTGGTTTGATAATAAATTGAGACAAATATTGTTATCACCACTGCTGCTATATCAGATTACTGTCAAGGTTTATGGGCCTCTTGTTTTGATTCAATATTTCTTTATTCCACAGGAAACAGAGCGATCATGGTAAGTCTTTGTCACAAATATGGCAAATTGTTTAAATTTGAAGCTAAAAGTAGTGTAGCCTTTTGTCACACCCTCTTAAACTAGATGTTATTACCAATCTTTGCTTTCTGATTGATAAAAAGTCCCATTTAGTTTACCACGCTAACTGCCGCCATTCTCGGGCCCCATCAGCTGTCATATATTGTCTTAGATATGCCATGGTGAGTGATGATGGTAAAGGTTTTTTTTACTTTCACCAGAGACAGAACATTTGATTACTGTATAACGTAGTGTTCATCACAAACATAAGATATATCATACATTCAGCTCACCTGGTCCTAAGGACTGAGCTCAAGGCATGGCATCTATCAACTTACTATGCTCCCCTCAGGGAGACCATATAGTGGCCACTTTGTCTGTCAATCCATCCATTTGTCTGTCCATCCATCCATTTGTCCATACGTCATAGTATTTTCCAGAACACCAAACCTATAAGAGGTATGAACATCAAACTTCGTAGGTAGAGAGAAACTCATTGAGGAGACGATTGTACAAGAATCCTAACTCACTTTTGCATAATACAGGAGTTATTGCCCTTTGTTACTTTTCATAGTTAAATTATGTCCCATTCAAGGAACTTTCTTCTAAAAATTGCTACTAGTCATGAATGATTGAGCAGGTTTTGACCAAATTTGGTTCAAATCATCCTTGGTGGAAGATGAGCAATTTTTTTTATAAATGTTGTGTCTTGGCCCCTTCATAAGGGTTGGTGCCCAAAAGGGGGAAATAGAGCAAATCCTTTAAATTGTTATTCTGCCCATAGGATTGATTAGATTTTACCTAGATTTGCTCTGAAGCAGTCTTAGTTGAAAGGGAATAAATTTTGTTTAAATAATAAATAATTGAATGAATAAAACAGGTATAAACAAATAAGTTGGTGAAGATGTTTACTATGCATTCCTATGCTGCCATCTGATTTTACGATATGTATCTTGAATTTCATGATAAAATTATTTCCTTTGTAGATGAGCCTACCACTGTGGACTGGTAAGTACAATACTCTGTTAGAATGTTTTCCATGAATTATTTGATAGCTGAAATATTATTACCATTATGTTTTCTTTTTTCTTTTTTCTTCTTCTTGTTTTTTTAGAATGAAAGCCTTAGATTTCAAAATTTTGAATTATTATTTTGTATTATTCTGATTTAGATGCTCACTAGAAATCTAATTGTTTTGGAATGTTTGAAAACATATGGAGTACTAATATCATATGGACATTTTGACTTAATAATCTATAATATTGTAATACTTAGATTCTTCTTTTCTCTTTTTTATTATTAGGGATGCAGTGCTTTCTGGAAATACAGAACGTCTAGGAATATTTGAAAAGAGTGACCTAACTGAAGGCAAGAAAAATAGCTTTAGCAGTAATAGTAATCATGTGCCAGTCCCACTCCCATAGCATAAAATCTTGTCTTGTACATGTAACCCTGGTAAAATACTAGCCGCAATATACCACTCGGCTAGAGAGAACTTCTCTTTAGCTCGATTGGTTGAGCGTCAGACTAGTAAGCCAGGGGTCCCAGGTTCGATTCCTAGCGGAGGCATTGAGATGAAAAATGACCTCTGTTGTACAAATGTTTCAAGACATCAAAAGTTTATCTGCACAAATTTCAGAATGTTTAAAATATTTTGAAACTAACTTCTTCAAATATAGATATCAGAATGTATCACAATATATTTATGAATATTTAGATAGTATTAATAAATCCTGATTGTTGTTCACTGATACTAGGAGAATATTTTTCACTTAAACTATTTAAAATTAACACTCACTTTGCAGAGTCTTCCCGGATAGAAACCCCAATGTGGGATAGACTAGAAGCAGCAGAACAGATGGAGAGACGAAAGGCTTACTCTGTTAACAGCTTTGATAAGATGATATGTCTAACTGAAGAAGGAAAGTTATGGAAGTTCCCAATCAATAATGATCAAGGTATGATAATGATCAAGGTGTAATAATGATCAAGGTGTAATAATGATCAAGGTGTGATAAGGATAAAGGTGTGATAATGATCAAGGTATGATCAAGGTATGATTATGATCAAGGTATGATAATGATCAAGGTGTGAAAATGATCAAGGTATGATTAAGGTATGGTAATGATCAAGGTATGATAATGATCAAGGTGTGATAATGATCAAGGTGTGATAATGATCAAGGTGTAATAATGATCAAGGTGTGATAAGGATAAAGGTGTGATAAGGATAAAGGTGTGATAATGATCAAGGTATGATAAAGGATGATAATGATCATGGTATGATAATGATGGTGTGATAATGATCAAGGTATGATAAAGGTATGATAATGATCAAGGTATGATAAAGGTATGATAATGATCAAGGTATGATAATGTTCAAGGTGTGATAATGATCAAGGTGTGATAATGATCAAGGTATGATAATGTTCAAGGTATGATAATGTTCAAGGTGTGATAATGATCAAGGTGTGATAATGATCAAGGTATGATCAAGGTGTGATAATGTTCAAGGTATGATAAAGGTATGATTATGATCAAGGTATGATAATGATCAAGGTGTGATAATGATCAAGGTATGATCAAGGTATGATCAAGGTGTGATAATGATCAAGGTATAATAAAGGTATGATAATGATCAAGGTATGATACTGATCAAGGTATGATAAAGGTATGATAATGATCAAGGTATGATAAAGGTGTGATAATGATAAAGGTGTGATAATGATCAAGGTATGATAATGATAAAGGTGTGATAATGATCAAGGTGTGATAATGATCAAGGTGTGATAAAATGATCAAGGTATGATCAAGGTGTGATAATGTTCAAGGTATGATAAAGGTATGATTATGATCAAGGTATGATAATGATCAAGGTGTGATAATGATCAAGGTATGATCAAGGTATGATCAAGGTGTGATAATGATCAAGGTATGATAAAGGTATGATAATGATCAAGGTATGATAATGATCAAGGTATGATAAAGGTATGATAATGATCAAGGTATGATAAAGGTATGATAATGATCAAGGTATGATAAAGGTATGATAATGATCAAGGTGTGATAATGATCAAGGTATGATAATGATCAAGGTATGATAAAGGTATGATAATGATCAAGTATGATAAAGGTATGATAATGATCAAGGTATGATAAAGGTATGATTATGATCAAGGTATGATAATGATCAAGGTGTGATAATGATCAAGGTGTGATAATGATCAAGGTATGATAATGATCAAGGTATGATAATGATCAAGGTATGATAAAGGTATGATAATGATCAAGGTATGATTAAGGTATGATAATGATCAAGGTATGATTAAGGTATGATAATGTTCAAAGTATGATAAAGGTATGATAATGATCAAGGTGTGATAATGATCAAGTTATGATCAAGGTATGATTATGATCAAGGTATGATAATGATCAAGTATGATAATGATCAAGGTATGTGATCAAGGTATGATAATGATGAAGTGATAATGATCAAGGTATGATTATGATCAAGGTTTGATAATGATCAAGGTATGATAAAGGTATGATTATGATCAAGGTATGATAATGATCAAGGTGTGATAATGATCAAGGTATGATAATGTTCAAGGTATGATCAAGGTGTGATAATGATCAAGGTATGATAATGATCAAGGTATGATAATGATCAAGGTATGATAAAGGTATGATAATGATCAAGGTATGATTAAGGTATGATAATGATCAAGGTATGATTAAGGTATGATTATGATCAAGGTATGATAATGATCAAGGTGTGATAATGATCAAGGTATGATAATGTTCAAGGTATGATAATGTTCAAGGTGTGATAATGATCAAGGTATGATCAAGGTATGATTATGATCAAGGTATGATAATGATCAAGGTGTGATAATGATCAAGGTATGATAATGTTCAAGGTATGATAATGTTCAAGGTGTGATAATGATCAAGGTATGATCAAGGTATGATTATGATCAAGGTATGATAATGATCAAGGTGTGATAATGATCAAGGTATGATAATGTTCAAGGTATGATAATGATCAAGGTATGATCAATGGTATGATTATGATCAAGGTATGATAATGATCAAGGTGTGATAATGATCAAGGTATGATAATGTTCAAGGTATGATCAAGGTGTGATAATGATCAAGGTGTGATAATGATCAAGGTATGATAATGTTCAAGGTATGATCAAGGTATGATAATGATCAAGGTGTGATAATGATCAAGGTATGCATGTTTCAGTCTTTTTGGATTTTCTGGATTTTTCTCAGTCACCTGCAAGGCATCAAAGTTATAGACTCTTAGCATCACTAAAGAGTGTCCTAGAAGGCCAAAACAGTTTAATTTATTGTTTGACTCTACTGTATCTAACTCTAAATTTGTATTTAAATTGAAATGTGTCTTTTGTACAATCTTTGTTTAAACAGGGTCTTTGAGTACTCGGATTTTAAATAACAGGATTCAACTGTAATTTCTTGTCTTTTAAAACTTGGTGTATGGAAAATAGATAGGCCTTTTAAGAGGTAGGCATTTACTAGCTGTATAACATGTTTTTCTTCTGTATTTCATGATAAGAGGTAGATAGTGTTACCTGTGGCCGTCATTCTGTCATCAGAGGTAGATAGTGTTACCTGTGGCCGTCATTCTGTTATCAGAGGTAGATAGTTTTACCTGTGGTCATCATTCTGTCATCAGAGGTAGATAGTGTTACCTGTGGCCATCATTCTGTCATCCGAGGTACATAGTGTTACCTGTGGCCATACTTCTGTCATCAGAGGTAGATAGTGTTACCTGTGGTCATCATTCTGTCATCAGAGGTAGATAGTGTTACCTGTGGCCATCATTCTGTCATCCGAGGTACATAGTGTTACCTGTGGCCATACTTCTGTCATCAGAGGTAGATAGTGTTACCTGTGGTCATAATTCTGTTATCAGAGGTAGATAGTTTTACCTGTGGTCATCATTCTGTCATCAGAGGTAGATAGAGTTACCTGTGGCCATCATTCTGTCATCCGAGGTACATAGTGTTACCTGTGGCCATACTTCTGTCATCAGAGGTAGATAGTGTTACCTGTGGTCATAATTCTGTCATCAGAGGTAGATAGTGTTACCTATGGCCATCATTCTGTCATCAGAGGTAGATAGTGTTACCTGTGGTCATAATTCTGTCATCAGAGGTAGATAGTGTTACCTGTGGCCATCATTCTGTCATCAAAGGTAGATAGTGTTACCTGTGATCGTAATTCTGTCATCAGAGGTAGATAGTGTTACCTATGGTCGTCATTCTGTCATCAGAGGTAGATAGTGTTACCTGTGGCCGTCATTCTGTCATCAGAGGTAGATAGTGTTACCTGTGGCCGTCATTCTGTCATCAGAGGTAGATAGTGTCACATATGGTCGTAATTCTGTCATCAGAGGTAGATAGTGTCACATATGGTCGTAATTCTGTAATGACTTCTCCCTAACTTTAACTAGAATTAATGATTGTAGTTTCGGTTCAAAAAAAAAATCAATAAGACTAATATTGGAAAATTTAGCCAAAAAAGCAGACAATTCTGCAAACTGAACTTACTTTATTTCAGAACTTTAATTTTATTTCATGGGACCTGATTCATCTCTTAACAAAACCAGTAACACTGTAGACTTTCAATCTTTTGCTAGGCTGCCCCCTGACACATCTTACGTAAATATATTTTAGAAATCACGATACTTTTCTGCTCCATTGTTTTACTGATTTATGTTGTTTTTATGCAGATCAAACGGAAGAGGAGAATGTTACCTTCGACGAACATGTGTTTCTTGACCACCTGATCGAGGATTTTCCTAAGAAAGGACCAGTGCGACATTTTATGGAACTTGTGTTAGCGGGTCTGTCTAAAAATCCATACATGAGTGTTAAGGAGAAACATGAACACATTGAATGGTACCGCAACTACTTCACTCAAAATGAGCATCTCTTGGAAGAAGAATTAGGGGATCTCGGCAAGATGAGGCAACTTCCACAGCAAGTCTGAAACGTCTACACAAAGGGCCGTATTAGTTACTAGCCACAACTGAAAAGTGAAATCAATATGAAGGATAGTTTTGGTTAGTAGCCATGGCAACATGAGGAGACTACCTTGCCAAGTCTGTAAAATCAATATGAAGGATAGTATTGTTTAGTAGCCATGGCAACATGAGGAGACTACCTTGCCAAGTCTGTAAAATCAATATGAAGGATAGTATTGTTTAGTAGTCATGGCGACATGAGGAGACTACCTTGCCAAGTCTGTAAAATCAATATGAAGGATAGTATTGGTTAGTAGTCATGGCGACATGAGGAGACTACCTTGCCAAGTCTGTAAAATCAATATGAAGGATAGTATTGTTTAGTAGCCATGGCATCATGAGGAGACTACCTTGCCAAGTCTGTAAAATCAATATGAAGGATAGTTTTGGTTAGTAGCCATGGCAATGTGAGGTGATTTGCTCATATACTGTCAAAATATTGCTGTTCTTGTTGTTAAGATGCAGACATGATTTCATGGATGAAAGTTTCGAGAAAGATAACTAGACTAAGAGTCTGGTCTACATAACATACTGCCTTTGTTATGATGGAAAAAGAGGTGACTGTTCTTAGGAAGTATGAATATCTGGCTGCTTAGATATCTCGCCCTGAAATTTTGGTGTTGAAATGTATGATAATGAGGTGGAGATAATTCAATTATTGTATATAGATTATATTTTACAATTGTGATATAATAAATGTCTTTTATACAGGACACAAAAAGTAAGAAATCTCTTTTTAAAGATAAATTTATTTGTGTCAAATGGAATATGAAAATCAAATAATAATGTTTGACCCGCTTTGAATGAATTTCATTCAAGTGTGTTGTGTATGATTACATAACCATCTAAAACAAAGAGCTTACTAGCTCTGAAATCAAAATGCCTCAATGGGTTCAACAATACTATCAGTAGTGTGTCCTCCATTGACCTCAGTAACAGCACATCTGCGAGATTACATACTTACACACCCCACCTCTACTAGAAAATAAATCTGGTCACCATGAGATACCACGTTACACCGTCTTTTCATTTTGGAAGTGATCAAGTGTGACCAGTGTTTTAATCTTGTGTAGAAATTGATACTGTGATGTTCAGATATGACCCATAAATCTGTGGAGGGATGCAAGAGATATGATGTACATAACCTTTTTATCACCTCACCGGAGACATATAGTGTCACCATCTTACCTGATCACTGTGAGGCTTCATTTTTTTTTTGTCTATAAACTTTTCTATCAACTTTTCTTTAGAATCTATTTCAAGTCATGAACTCCGGTACCATTGGAATGATATTGTCAAAGCATTGTAGGATTTATCTGCAGATGATTTTGGGCAAGTCATCAAATATTTTACCAATCTCTGGAGATAAAAATTTTAATGAAATTTGGTACTGTTGAAATTTAATTAATTCAATTTTAATTTTGGTCTCTGTGTTAAACTTTTGTAGAATATTGGGCCAAATATTAGTTTTCCAATTTTACCTTACAATGTTTAGAGATAATGATTAAGTACTTCAAATCTGGTAGTTTGTGTTTTTAAAATAACCGGTAACACAGCAATACCTGATATCCAACTTGTTTGTACTGTCAAACATATAACTTGTCATCATCCCTTTAATATACAACAATGCAAGGAATATACTTGTTGCTGATCAACTTTTTTCTACAACGATCAGACTCAAACTGACTTAGTAAATTACCAATATGCTCATTGACATATTTAAACCTGTACAGAATCTTTTTGTGTAATTGTTTGTCTGTTTAACAATATTTCTCATTTATCAAATATTATTTCTCAAAAATATCTTCAGGAAAACATGGCAGTTTAGTTTGTCAATGCCATTAAAAAAATTTTCCTTCATGATTGATTTAAATGGAGCTTCCTGCAAAAGTACAAGGAGAATAAGACCAGGTGTTCCAGAAGGTTAGCATCTTCTTCAATGAAAGCACACACCATGTAAACCTTGGTCAAACCTTTCAAACAAATGATTACAACACCATGTAATTCTTCTACTCATTTTATCGTGTAACAGTCATCATCTCCAAAAACTGTGATTACATTCAAGCCATACAATTAGAAGATTAACAAAATCTAAAAACATACACAAATATTATCAGGTCACCTCTGTAACATTTAAATGTAACAAAGACATCACCCTGCTTTTGTTACAACATTGTCTACAATGCTTAAATTCACATTTTTATATGGAATCATGTGACAAACTGAAGAGGAGCCAGCTCAATAACAGTGCACAAGGTTACATCATTTGTAAATATTACATAAACATCTTAACACAAGATTGTCTAGTATAAGATTAGTTATGGCTATCAGGGACATATTAATGCTGCAAGTAAAATTTACTTTGTTTCAATAGGAATTATAACTTTGTGGCTGGATTGTCAGGAACTGATTCTGAGAGTCATTCTTAAATACCTATTAAGTCCCCAGTTTTTGACCGCAGCCTCGAGTTTATATCACAGGAAAAACTCTTTAGTAAGACTGGGTACCAAACAGACAATCTATCGAGCAATGTTTGAAAGTAAAATCTATAATTTTCACTTATATGACAAGTTTTATTCTTTAACAAAATTAATATAATATGACAAGATATTGTGATGATTACAATTAAAAACATGAATGAATTTAAGTAACATGACCAACAATCTTCTATTTGTGAACCACTTGGAGGTGATCCACTCCTTAATAGGTATACATCCTTACAATATATCACATGGGACCATGTTACATGAAAAATAAAACATAATAACTCGCAAACTTCCTTCAAAAGATTTTCCGTAAAGGAATTCTGTAGATGACAAAAATATTAAAGAAAGATAATTTTTCACATTGAAGACGCCCCTCCTTGTATAGAACTGTAAATCATTTATATTTCATGTGGGATTTATTTTCGTGTTTCTATGGTAGGAGCGTCGATTGCGACATAAATAACTGGATGGTATTCATGTTGATTTGGCTGCCAATATCCGAGTCTTGAAAGTACATTGTCTTCAACGACTCATCATTCTGGAAATTAAATTCTAGATCAGTGTTTGCAAAATCTAGTATTCACTAATATGTCTGAAGAGGTAAGTTTGCAAAATTAATATTTGCTGAATGTAAATGATTTACAGTACACATATGTTTTAGATCTATTGACACAAGTTCTGACATAACAATACAACTACAACAGTAAGTACTACCATACAGTTCATAACTAAGGTCATTGCATTGAAAGTATTCTATACATCATAAGTATTGCTTACATAAACAATAATTTTGCAGATACGACGATAAGAATCAGCACTTGGAGAAACCATTTCCATCCATACAAACTGCTGGGTTTTTTGTTTTTAGATCCAAAATCAATTTGGCCAATAAGAACAGTTTTTAGGATTTGGAAGTTGCCAGTTTTCAAGAATGTTTTCTAATTATACCAATGATAACCTCATACAAAATATGACTTTATCTTTAACTGAAAGCAAATTAGCACAATGTTAAACTATGACCTCACTAACCTATGACCTCAAAGAAATTAACAAGAAATAGATTTAGCAAAGTGATCGGACAATCATTGAATATAATTTATTATCCAATCCTTTTTGACTCATTTGATGTAGCAATCCATTGATTTTTCATCTTTTCATGTGTTTTAGCAAAACAAAATTCATATCATGCATAATAATGATTCCAATTGCCAATAATATTCTATGTAAGCAATATATTTTAGGTTAATGTTACAAAAACAGAAAATATTGCAGCACCAGAGAATGCATTCACTTTATGTAGTTGTTAAAAAGATGACTAAATAATTGCTTTACTACATAAAATAGCCAATTCAATTTCAACTGACAATCGAATAAAATCTACCTATGTTCATGACTGATATTTGCATTTCCACTGAAATCATAAGATGTGAACTGGCTTGATATTTTACCATCCACTAATTTTTTAAGTCTGTTACGCTTTAAAAGACAAAATTAGTGACTAATAATGTTGGTGAGTTGACTGCTCTCCTGACACTGCAACAGCTTCAAAAAGCAAGTGTCATATAGCCTGATTTGAATCTGACCACTTTTAAATTATATATTTATTTAAAGGGAGATAACACAATTCAAGATTTAGCACAATAATTCATCCTAAGCCTTAAAAAAACTGGTAGAAAAAAGTCATCAACTGCATGTAGCAGTTCATGTGATTTATAAAAATAGCCATTTTTAAAAGTGAAATTTAACAGCAGAGAAAATCTGAGTAAAAAACATCCATTTTACTCATGGAATGTATCAGCAGACACTCGGTGATAAAAGTGGCCATTTTACTCATGGAATGTAACAGCAGAGACACATGGTGATAACAATGACCATTTTACTCATGGAATGTAACAGCAGAGACACTCGGTGATAAAAATGACCATTTTACTGGTGGAATGTAACAGCAGAGACACTGTGATAAAAATGACCATTTTACTTGTGGAATGTAACAGCAGAGACACTCGGTGATAAAAATGACCATTTTACTCGTTGAATGTAACAGCAGAGACACTCGGTGATAAAAATGACCATTTTACTCGTGAGACACTCGGTGATAAAAATGACCATTTTACTCGTGGAATGTAACAGCAGAGACACTCGGTGATAAAAATGACCATTTTACTCGTGGAATGTTACATCAGCAAAACTTGGTGATGAAACTTATGATAAAGACTAGCTTTAAACAAGTAAATATAGGGACTTCTCCAATAAATATAACATAATTCACTACAATTGTACATCAAAATACAATTCACAAAATTTACAGGATTAATGTCTGACAAGAAAAAAGATCTTTTAAAGTCTTTCATTGTCATTACTGCATAAACAACTTATATTTATCAGATGCATAACACAATTATTATACAAGTCATAAGTTTTAATTCTAGAGAATTCTATTGTTGGATGTACATGTTAATGCTGCTGTACAAAAAGTTATTTAAATGATTAATCACACAATGATAATAGGACAAGTATTAAAAATAAATATACACACTATGTCATGGCATGATCATGTGACAATATGATTATATAGGGGAATGTTAACAATTCTGACAATAAACCCAGGCCTGGTGACAAGCCCGTATATCTAACATTGCTGTTCCATAGAATAATGATATTCAATGTTCTGTAACAATCTATACCTCTCCTCTGACTTTGAGTACAAAGATCATTACTAAAGACACACAAGTGAATAGCACCTTTCAAATTTAGAATTAGATACAGTAGAGCCAAATAAAGAATTAAACTGTATCATTAAGCTGTTTCGTCCTTCTAGGCCTCATCAGTGATACAACATAATGAATAAATAATGAGATGGCCCTCTGCGTTTACTGAGGGATACACAACTTGATGTTACGATAGTATGGACTAAATTTAAATTAATTCTATTAATAGGTTCTCAAGATATGCATTGTCAATTAGAAACAGGATGGGACAGGACAGACAGATAAGGGTATCCCCCTCCCCCCCAACATTTAAATGTTGGAAAACATTAAAAACAAAAAATTATGGCTGACAGATGTAACAAAAAGTCGAAAAGAAATATGCCCCTGGTAAAAAAACAATCAATACACCTATTTGACGGCTTTCTTAAAAAATATTTGAAGTGAAAATAGAAGCTTTTGTCAATATCCATGAACACTGTCCTTCCTCTATTGTAAATGACATGAAAAATAAATTAGCATAAAACATATCACAAACTAATGTATCTATGATAAATATAGGTTATACCAAAATATGTCAAGTATTGAAAAATAAAGTCGTATTTTTTTTATAAAATCATCACAACAGATAAACATGGACCTGATATATTTGTATACATACCATAGAAAAACCATTATAAAGATATCAAAGCTCACAATAATAAAACATGTATACTGAATCAATAATCTGGACAAATCATCAAGATAAACATTGTACAACTGGTCATTACATTTAATACAATGGTACGTTTGCTACTGCTCTTTAAATAACACATATCAATGATTGAATTCCACACTGTGTTCTACTAAATGTTCATATTCATTATAATCCCGGTATTGTTACAAGGCACGTTCCCAAAAGGAAAAAAAATTTCAATATTCCCAACCAGATAAGGGAAAAGCTATGAATTCCAATATTTTTACATGACACGTACCCCATCCCCTCCAACACCCCTCCCCATCCCCTCCCACAACCCTACCCTACCCCACCCCATCCCCACCCACTCCCACAACACACACAACATCTAAACAAGTTTGATAGAATCCTGACATCAGTACAAAGGGTTTCCTTGAGAGGCTAATTCTCTAAAGAGTTCCAACTTCCCATGCCCTATCCTCAAATAGACCAATTAATTAGGACAGAGACATTGTATGGTATAAATCCATAAAATGGCTGATTAACCTCCATTTATAGAGGTCGTAAATCACGATTCCCTTCACTGAAGAAATTGGAAGGAAAATTAACTACAGGTACACAAGGCCTTTTTCATTAAACAGATGTTGCATAAAAGTTTGAAAAACCAGTTCAAACAGATAACTTAGTATCGGGATATGTAACGCACACCAGTAAAAATAAACACTGTTGGTCAAATTTGTTGTAAGGATTTCAAATTTTAACCAACTTCTAAATATATAAACAGCTGTTTCATGATAGTTTCTTTTATAAAATATAATATTTACCATTTTATGTACATATATAGAGAGATAATTATAAAAATGAGCGAGTTGTTCACTTACATTCTACAAAAAACTATAAACATACATACAATACAAATTAAACGTACAGTCAACATATACTCTGAAAAGACTAATTTGTAAAATTATCAACTTTCCTGAGCGATTTCATTCAATTTCACAGATTTTGTATCTGCATACTCAAATTGATAATACAGTGAAAATTTTTGATGTCTGGTCAATAAAAATTTAACAAAATCTTTAAATAAATACTATGATATGCTGATGACTTGTAGAAGATTTCTGGCACATATTTATTTATACTGTGAGGAAATAAAAACATAGACCAACAATGAGTTGTCAAGGGTTACAGCGATAATTGTGAAAGTATTAATCCTGTGTTCCTGTATGGGCACTTGTAGACTGAATTCTAGCTACCAAAACAAAAGGGACAATATAATTTAGTTCAAATTTCTATTTTCCAATGAGTTAGCTGTTGAAATAAAGGTATAATGTATTCGGTTCTTCAACGTTTAAAAAACACAAACATACCTTTCAAACTAAAATAAAAAAAAAAACCAGCAATTCATTAAATTTTTTCCTTTTTTTCATTTTAAGTACAACAGTCAGTACCTGAATCAAATCTAAAAATAATTCATATTTGTGTTATAAGACCATAACAACACACTTACAAACTTTACTTCCTACTTCTAACACAAAATGAATGACACCATATCAAAACACAACGAGAAAAGATTACCATGTTTTAGATTTCAGTCAACAATATGAGAGATTTTGAGTGCATTGCACAAAGAAGGAAAAGTAGGTGTTAATATCTTGCAAGAATGTATTGGAATGACACAAGCCTTGTCCTACACTTCTCTGTACTGTTAAAAGTGTAAAGTACCATACACTCTTAACTATTTTGATGTGTTAAAAGTGTAAGGCATCATACTACCTTAACTATTTTGTTGTGTTAAAAGTGTAAGGAAATCATACACCCTTAACTATTTTGTTGTATTAAAAGTGTAAGGCATCATACACCCTTAACTATTTTGATGTACCCTTAACTATTTTGTTGTATTAGAAGTGTAAGGCATCATACACCCTTAACTATTTTGTTGTGTTAAAAGTGTAAGGCAATCATACACCCTTAACTATTTTGTTGTATTAAAAGTGTAAGGCATCATACACCCTTAACTATTTTGTTGTGTTAAAAGTGTAAGGCATCATACACCCTTAACTATTTTGTTGTGTTAAAAGTGTAAGGCATCATACACCCTTAACTATTTTGTTGTATTAAAAGTGTAAGGCATCATACACCCTTAACTATTTTGTTGTGTTAAAAGTGTAAGGCATCATACACCCTTAACTATTTTGTTGTATTAGAAGTGTAAGGCAATCATACACTATTTTGTTGTATAAGTATTTTGTATCATCCTTCATAAATCTGTTCTACTTAAAGAGTGGTATATAAAAAGATCATAATTTTGCATGATTTCTTCCCTAGGTCTTTCATTATAATGTATTTTACATCCTTAAGTATTCTATACTTCTATCAACCCTACGCTGATTCTCTTTGAGGTGAGAAAAAGTAAAATATTCTTAAAAATTCCACGATCATGTATATTTGAACAAGCCTTAAGACCATACCACTTTGTAAGTTTCCGTTTGCTAGCCATGTGTATTTCCTGTGATGTGATATTCTGTGAGATAAGTATTGATTGGTAGAGGAGATTACAAGACATCAGACATGATGCTAGAAGACAATAGAGACCACTGACAAAGCTCACTGCTGTCCTGCAAATGAAAAAATAAAATAAATTGATGTTTTTACAGAAAACCAAATGAATTGTTCTGTTTTATCATCATACCAACAGCTAATTTAAATTGAATATTCATGTAGAAGAGAAATTTTTATATATAACATATGATGGTTTCATACAATTTGTTAGAATGCTTGGCGAGTCTCATATTTGGTATCTTCAGAATCTTTCTCTTATGGATGAGATTCCTCCCACTGCAAGGAATGAAAGTTCAACAATATTTAAGGGTACTTACTGGAAATCGACATATAAAAATCGACAGTCATGTGGAAGTAGAAACCAGCCGTAGTATAACTGTGGTGTGCACACGGTTGTCAAGGTGAGATGGACACCGTAAAACCCACTAAACACAAACAGTATCATTGCTGCCATGAACTGTTTGTGATTATTGGCGGTTATACAACAGTCTATCCTGAAAATAGAAAAAAAACCACCAACCTGTACACAGTACACAAAAGGTATTAACCTGCTAACACAAGAAACCAGAATACAGAATGGCTTTGAAATGCTGCTATATAATTCTTTGGAATACTGAAAACATCTTCACAATGGTTGGACTCCAGTCCCAAAAGCAAACGAGAACAAGGAGAGACCAAAGGGATCCTATGTATGAAATCTGAGAGATATTCATACAGTTCTTCAGAAATAACAATAACCATCTTTACTAAGCAAAATCCAAGATTGCTGTCTGCCGGCCATTTTGTTATTCTGATCAGTCCTTCGATCAAACAGACACAACTAGGGATCAAGGAAAGCATACACATAAAATTGGAGAAAGATCTACGCTGAAGTTATCAAGACATAGCGATAACAAACTTGCAAAGTCAAAATCCAAGATGGATGCCTTTCATCTTATTTTTTTTCTGATCAGACTCATAAATTAAACGTGAAATGTGAGAGAGATCCATCCTGTACTTCTTAAGAAATAGCAATAACTCACATTCAAAGTAAAAAACAAAGATAGCTGGCTGTTGACCATTTTGTTTTCTGATCAGACCCAAAATCAAACTGGAACAACTAAGGAGCAAGGGGAACATACATATGAAATTCAAGAAAGATCCATCATGTACGTCGCAGGAAATAGCACTAACAAAATTTCAAAGTTGAAATACAAGATGGCTGCCTGTCAGCCATTTTGTTTTTTGGATCAGACCCAAAATCAAACAGGCACAAAAAGGGACCAAGGGGAACACATCTATGAAATTTAAGAAAATTCCAACCAGTGCTTCTCAAGAAATAGCAATAACAACCTTTCAAAGTAAAAATCCAAGATGGCCACCTTTCAGCCATTTCATTTTTTCTGATCAGTCCAAAAATTACATAGGCACAACAAGAGACCAGGAGAAATCTACATATGAAATGTAAGAGAGATCCATTGCTTACGTTTCTAGAAATAGTGTCAACAAACTTCATTGAAAAAATCCAAGATGGCTGACTGTCGGCCATTTTTTTTTGCATCAGTCCCAATATCAAACGGGCACAAGGGGAACCTATATATGAAATTTGTGAAAGACTAGTTTTATAAATTACATATGAAATGGAAACACATATTACATCTCAAGTATATAAAATTGCCAGCGACATCTTCACATCAGCAGTAAAGAGATAGGTATCAAATTGCCAGTGACATCTTCACATCAACAGTAAAAAGATAGGTATCAAATTGCCAGCGACATCATCACATCAACAGTAAAGAGATAGGTATCAAATTGCCAGCGACATCTTCACATCAACAGCAAAGAAATAGGTATCGAATTGCCAGCGACATCTTCACATCAACAGTAAAGAGATAGGTATCAAATTGCCAGCGACATCTTCACATCAACAGTAAAGAGATAGGTATCAAATTGCCAGCGACATCTTCACATCAACAGTAAAGAGATTGGTATCAAAGTACTGGAAGTCCTGTAAACAAACATTTTTCTTTGTTTAGATATTTTATGATTTGTAGTAAATAATATATAATCATTGAAGCTTGTGCTCTATTTCTTAAAGCTAAATACCAAGGAGAGATTTAAGAAATTAAAATTTAAGAAATGTGCTTTAAGAAATAGAGCACAAGCTTCAATGATTACATTTACTACAAATCATAAAATATCTAAACAAAGAAAAATGTTTGTTTACAGGACTTCCAGTAGTATACTAACATTTATTGAATATTTAAAAGATAATACACTTATCACATACTGGTGCAATATATTTACAATCTGGAAAAAAGAAATTATGATAGGATCCATGTGAACTTCAGAGTGGGTCAAGGTCAATCAGCTGAACAAACTTGATAATCCTTCAATACAACATAACTTCTGGTCAAATATCATAACCAAGAAAGTCTTTTCTGATGTGTAGAGGATTATTAATTTTTTGTATATGACTTCTTTTGTTAGTTTACCTTTGGGCCAGGTAAGTTAAGAAATGAACAATAATGTTTGTTTAAAAATTATGTTACTGAATCTTTACTCTACATGTAACAATTCATAGTGCAACTTTAATTATAAGCATGATAATTAGTACCCACAGAACTTAATGCTGCAATGCAAAATTTTAAAATATATAATGATTTTAGAAGCAATGATGGTGGCTATAATTTGTTAAAGCATTTGTTACATGCAGCCATATATTCTATTATTGAAATTTGAAAATCTAACACATCCATTAAATTTCATCACTGCCAGGCCTCTTATATTTTAATAAAGCAAACTACAAAGGCAGATAACTCAGGGTAACTCTCATGCAAATCAAAGCAAAAAAAAATATAATAGAAATTGTCCAGATTACATAAGCAGGGGTAGATAATTCACAATGTAACATGCATGTACACCAAAGCAGCTTTACACTGAAAACAATTAAAAACTCACCATACACAACGATTGTCAGTCACGACAAAGCAGACTTCCCACAAAAAATAATGTCTATTTAATGTTAAGACAAGGGCAGATAACTCACCATACACAGTGATGGTCACGCACATCAAAGCAGGCTTTACACACGGTACAATGCCCAGAGCGAGGCGGCTTTTTTATTCCACAATCAGCACACCAGGTGATCAATTTGCCATCTGATTAAATACAAGATGCATGCAATAACACCGTTGAAGTATTCCCTTTGAAAATGATGCAAATCAAGGTGAGACATCCAGGAAAAAATAAATCTTAGTGTTGAATATATCCTGTCTATATTTAAAACCTTAGATTTAAAATCTTGCCTTTAGATCTCACTGTGATAGACGTCATCATAAATTTCAATGTCTCCACCAGGAATTTGGGATATTTGATTTACCAGTATTACACTCAACCGATCAAGCTAAAGACAAGCTCTCTCTAGCCAAGCAGTATATTGCAGCATGTATTTACACAAGTGTTAAAAAGTACCTCCATTTGACAACACAAGGGAATCTTGGCCTCTACCTAGCAAATTTATGACCACACAGGAGCCTATACATGGCAACAATAACCCAGTGATCACGAGCAAGTGGTGATGAAAATGTACATCCAGCATAAAACAAAATGCTTATATACCCCAGTAACACCACCTCACCTAACCTCCACCCCTCACCTCCCCCACCCCACACTTACCCAACCTTTACTACTCACCTCCCCCTTACCCAATTTCTTTTCCTCACCCCCTTACCCAACTTCCACTCCTCAACCCCCCTTACCCTTTACCCAACCTCTACTCCTCACCCTCCTCTTACCCAACCTGCACTCCTCACCCCCACTCTTACACAACCTGCACTCCTCACCGCCCTCTTACCCAACCTGCACTCCTCACCGCCCTCTTACCAAACCTGCACTCCTCACCCCCCTCCCACCTTACCCAATCTGTATTCCTCAACCCCCCCCCCCCCCCCACCTTACCCAACCTGCACTCCTCACCCCCCTCTTACCCAACCTCCACTCCTCACCCTCCTCTTACCCACCTCCATTCCTCACCCCCCCTCCCTCCTCTTGTGCAACCTCCACTCCTCCACCTCCCTCTCCCCCTTGTCCAACCTCCACTCTCACCCCAACTCCACCCCTCCCCCCTTTCAATATCTCAACTAGCATTTCCTTTAGTACAAGTGGCCTCCTAGAACTAGAGAACAATAAAATATAGGCTTGCTCTCAGACACTATTTTGAGCACAACTCTATATGTATGTACGTATATATGTTTAAATATGTTGATGAGGTTCCTAAAACAAAGTAATAAAAAATCAACCATTTATCACTCAACCCTAAGAAACCATAGTGATCTGTCTTTTCCCTATTCACCATCCAACAAGATAAACACAAACAGATCCCTCATTTTCCAGTTATCCTGTCCACAAACCTTTTCACCTGACATGATACCATCAGCTAGTGGGCCTCGTCCAACATCACAAAAAAAAAAAAGGATTAAAATGGGATCCCTCAACAAATCCCTCTTAGGTTCATGTGGAATCAGCTGATGTCCTGATGGTTGGCTAATTTTTTTTATAAAACAATTTTACCCCCAAGAAAACCTGTCATAACAGATACAACTGTGGCCTTGAACCTCAGCTTTATACTTAAAATCTGACATATATTTTTGTAACCCAAGTAAAACACCTGCCACAATATACCACTCGGCTAGAGAGAACTTCTCTGCAGCTATGTAACCATGGTAAATACTAGCCACAATATACCACTCGGCTAGAGAGAACTTCTCTGCAGCTATGTAACCATGGTAAATACTAGCCACAATATACCACTCGGCTAGAGAGAACTTCTCTTTAGCTCTGTAACCATGGTAAATACTAGCCACGATATACCACTCGGCTAGAGAGAACTTCTCTTTAGCTCTGTAACCATGGTAAATACTAGCCACGATATACCACTCGGCTAGAGAGAACTTCTCTTTAGCTCTGTAACCATGGTAAACACTAGCCACAATATATCACTCGGCTAGAGTGAACTTCTCTGTAGCTCAGTCAATTGAGCGTAGGATTAATAAACTATGGCCAGAGGTCCCTGGTTCAAATCCTAGTGGAGGCATTGAAATAAATAATGATATGTTACATTAGTGCCCATGTAGGGACAATGGAACAGAGGGCATTATTTATTTCAATGCCTTTGCTAGGGTTTGAACCCAGGACCTCTGGTCTACTGGTCTGATGTTCAACCAACAAGCTATTACGACATATTTTCTCTAGCCAACTGGTATATTACAGCTAGTATTTACCAAGGTTACATTTACTTATTCATTAGAAAATAAAAGAAGGGGCCCAAAGTGCCTTAACCGTAACATAAGATTTAATTTAATCATAGATCATTTTGTTGTCCTGACCTAACATTTAAATTGTAATGTTAACATACCAGGTATTCCACTATATGTAATTGAGCTAAATTACTGACAAACTGATATTTTAGTAGATTTGAGCCCTCAGCCCTTCAGAATTGAGGGAATGAGTCTATTGCAACAATTCTGATCTAGTTTGCAGAATATGAAAAAAAATCTGAAATCATGAATTTCCAATTTAATTAGTGTAAAATTTACCCCACCCTACAGGAGAATTGGGGGCAGTCATTTTACAAAATTCATAACCTGTACTACCAATCAGAAAGGGTTTTTGATTTTACAAGATCTAGGTCTAAAGAAGAAGACTTTTGAACTATGCCTCAGTTTTCAAATTATCAGAGTGCTATCTGATGACAATAATTCTAACCTAGATATAGTTATTTTTCATAAATAAACTATCCCCAAAAGTGTTCTTTCCTACATAAAAGACAAAGCAAAATTTACCTGCACAACAGACCTTATATCATACCTTCCTGCAAAGAACAAACTTTATCACTGAATGGCTGTAGAATGACCCAAATTCCCATAACTCTTTTACGCTCTTAACCTTTCATATTAAAAAGTACAGGAATGACAGTATTGTCTTTTTTTATATTGTTTCGGGTTTTATTTTTGTGTGTTTATTGCTTGTTGCTTAGTTTACTGTTCCATAATCAGTCAACGTCATTATAAGACAAAGTCTACCGACAGCAGCTGGTGACTTTCTCACTCGACAGCAGCTGGTGACTTCCTCACTCAACAGCAGCTGGTGACTTCCTCACTCAACAACATCACTCAACGTCATTATAAGACAAAGTCTCCTGACAGCAGCTGGTGACTTCCTCACTCAACAACAAAAGTAGTCAACGTCATTATAAGACAAAGTCTCCTGACAGCAGCTGGTGACTTCCTCACTCGACAGCAGCTGGTGACTTCCTCACTCAACAACATCACTCAACAAAGTCTCCTGACAGCAGCTGGTGACTTCCTCACTCAAAAACATCATTCAGCGTCATTATAAGACAAAGTCTCCTGACAGCAGCTGGTGACTTCCTCACTCAACAACATCACTCAGCGTCATTATAAGACAAAGTCTACAGACAGCAGCTGGTGACTTCCTCACTCAACAACATCACTCAACGTCATTATAAGACATAGTCTCCTGACAGCAGCTGGTGACTTCCTCACTCAACAACATCACTCAACGTCATTATAAGACAAAGTCTACCGACAGCAGCTGGTGACTTCCTCACTCAAAAACATCATTCAGCGTCATTATAAGACAAAGTCTCCTGACAGCAGCTGGTGACTTCCTCACTCAACAACATCACTCAGCGTCATTATAAGACAAAGTCTACCGACAGCAGCTGGTGACTTCCTCACTCAACAGCAGCTGGTGTCTTCCTCACTCAACCTCATTATAAGACAAAGTCTCCTGACAGCAGCTGGTGACTTCCTCACTCAACAACATCACTCAGCGTCATTATAAGACAAAGTCTACCGACAGCAGCTGGTGACTTCCTCACTCAACAGCAGCTGGTGACTTCCTCACTCAATAACATAATTAGTCAACATCATTATAAGACATAGTCTCCTGACAGCAGCTGGTGACTTCCTCACTCAACAGCAGCTGGTGACTTCCTCACTCAACAACATCACTCAACGTCATTATAAGACAAAGTCTCCTGACAGCAGCTGGTGACTTCCTCACTCGACAGCAGCTGGTGTCTTCCTCACTCAACAACATCACTCAATGTCATTATAAGACATAGTCTCCTGACAGCAGCTGGTGACTTCCTCACTCAACAACATCACTCAACGTCATTATAAGACAAAGTCTACCGACAGCAGCTGGTGACTTCCTCACTCAACAGCAGCTGGTGACTTCCTCACTCAACAACAAAATTAGTCAACGTCATTATAAGACAAAGTCTCCTGACAGCAGCTGGTGACTTCCTCACGCGACAGCAGCTGGTGTCTTCCTCACTCAACAACATCACTCAATGTCATTATAAGACATAGTCTCCTGACAGCAGCTGGTGACTTCCTCACTCAACAGCAGCTGGTGACTTCCTCACTCAACAACATCACTCAATGTCATTACAAGACATAGTCTCCTGACAGCAGCTGGTGACTTCCTCACTCAACAGCAGCTGGTGACTTCCTCACTCAATAACATAATTAGTCAACATCATTATAGGACATCGTTTCCTGACACCAGCTGGTGACTTCCTCACTCAACAGCAGCTGGTGACTTCCTCACTCAACAACATCACTCAACGTCATTATAAGACATAGTCTCCTGACAGCAGCTGGTGACTTCCTCACTCAACAGCAGCTGGTGACTTCCTCACTCAACAACAAAATTAGTCAACGTCATTATAAGACAAAGTCTACCGACAGCAGCTGGTGACTTCCTCACTCAACAACAAAATTAGTCAACGTCATTATAAGACAAAGTCTACCGACAGCAGCTGGTGACTTCCTCACTCAACAGCAGCTGGTGACTTCCTCACTCAACAACAAAATTAGTCAACGTCATTATAAGACAAAGTCTCCTGACAGCAGCTGGTGACTTCCTCACTCGACAGCAGCTGGTGTCTTCCTCACTCAACAACATCACTCAACCTCATTATAAGACATAGTCTCCTGACAGCAGCTGGTGACTTCCTCACTCAACAGCAGCTGGTGACTTTCTCACTCAACAACAAAATTAGTCAACGTCATTATAAGACAAAGTCTCCTGACAGCAGCTGGTGACTTCCTCACTCAACGGCAGCTGG